TGGGCCAGAGGCTGGGCTGTCCTGGGCAGAGAAGCCCGACAGATGTGACCCATGGCTTCGAGCTTTTCCTGGGCCCTGGGGATTCACGGTGAGTGACAGATGCTGGCTGGAGCTCCCTTCCGAGTGCTGAGACACGGAGATGACATAAAGGAAACAGAGCAATGGTAGCGATCCCGGGCCCTGGCAGAGGTAGCCTCAAGTGCAGGATCAGTGCAGGGTGGACGTCAGACGGGTAGGGACACTGGCTTGCCAGGGGGACAGCTGGGCTCGGCTCGCCCTGGATTCTGTGGGGGAGGCGTCCCTGTGCGATGCCACTCTGGCCCCAGACCCTTGTGGACATCCCCGGCCTGGCACAGGGGCCGCTTTGTGGTTCTCGGGGTGCACGCCCCTGCTCAGCCTCATGTGCTAGCGGACAAATGTCGGCCAGTCTGGGCCTGGATCGTGCAGAAACACTGCTCTTCTCTCTGCTCCGGACGTGGCACCTGGTCAGCGGGGCACTGGGCTGTTGCTGAAGGGCTGCTGCCTAAAGTGGGTCCAGGGGTCCCCCTGGGGGCAGGGGCCTTGCAGCACCGCCTGCCACGTGGCTTGCTGGGTAGACGCATCACCCCCAAGTCAAGGAGGACCTTGGCTGCTGGAAGGCCTGCCTGTGGACCCCTCTCCCCTGCCCCACTTCCTGTGGGCTGAGACGCAGAGGCTGGGGGGAGAACTCATCATCTGGGCTGTGAAACCAAGGATGGAAACTAAACCCACCATGGGTCCAGAGGTCGCCTTGTGGCGTCCGTCCTCCCACCTCACTCTCCTGCTGGGCCCCAGGAGAAGCAGGAGGGCACCTCAGATAGGGGAGGAGGCCCTCGCCATAGCAGAGAGGACAAGGACCCTGTCTGTGCTGTCTGTAGACAGGGACACTTCTGCACAGTGGCCAAGGGCGGCGGTGTCCCCGGAGAGGACACCTTTCCTCCCCGAGACCAGCAGTGACGTGTCTGTGTCTGAGGCTGGGGCCCTGTGGGTATCCAGAGCTGGAGGTCCTGGAAGGACCAATCCACGACAAGGCTGTGGCCTGGTGGAGTCCAGCCCTTCTCCTCCGAGTCCACGCCCTCTCCCTGTGACTGCCACCATCCTCTATGAGGAGGACACACCAGGCCCGGGCAGCCTCGCAGGTTGTCCGTGTGCACTTAGGCCCGAGCTTTGGTGCTGGGATCCCAGGGCATGAGCAGCTCCCTTGGGACCACAGACCCTGCACCCCAATGCCCTCGCCTTGGTGACAGCCTTCGGATAAGGATGCACCTGCAGCTCCCGATGGGACCCTGCTCACTCCCGTGTACATCTCTGGGCTTTGGGTGGAAACAGCCCCAGGGACACCAGAGCCCTCCTCTCGTGTCCCCTGCCCTGTTCTGACTCCTGCGTGAGCCGCCTGGGCTGTGCCTGGGGCCTCCCCAGCCTGACCTTGGGTTCAGTTCAACCCTCGGATTAATAAAAAACAACTCACAAAGGAAGTTCCCAATGCGATGACTTAGCCCTGCCACAATCCCCTTAGGAAATATCAAGTAAAACAAACATTCTAAAACAGGCTCTGTCCTCATTTAATAGGCACGGAAGAGGAAGTGAAGATAAACGGATGATGTCAAGTGGCCCTGGCAGAAAGGGCTGACGAGGGTCTTGGAAGTGACTTAGAAGTACACGGATCCTGGTCGAGGCTGTGTGAGACGTGTGATTTACTTAGGAGGCTTTTTGGATTTTGGAATTAGAACCAGGAAGCTTTGATTCCGGAGAATCCCACTAAATCTACTAAATGAAGTAAGAATGGGAGAGACAGCCGAGGAGAGGGTTCCATGCAGTAAACATGGAGATGGCTCCCGAGACCCCAGGTGAGCCTCGGGGCCACTGCTGCTCCTGTCCCTCCTGGGGGAGGCACACAGAGCCTTGCACACTCAGACACACCTTCCCCATCTCCAGAGCATGCACGACATCGCCCCTGAGGCGGGTGCTGCGCAAACCATCGTTAGGTGTGCTGCTTCAGAGAAAGAAAGCACGCACGTGTGTTCAGCAGGGATGCAGTTCTCTCTGTGTGTTTTCAGTCCACGGTCCCCAAGTGGAGATCAGAGGCCCTCTATGCACGTGCACTGTGTACCAGTTCTGTCTCTGAGGAGTCTCCGGGCGGGGGAGGAGCTCAGTGGTAGAGCTTAATCCCCAGGACGAGAGAGAGAGAGAGAGAGAGAGAGAGAGAGAGAGAGAGAGAGAGAGAGAGAGAGAAGGAGGAGAGAGAGAGAGAGAGAGAGAGAGAGAGAGAGAGAGAGAGAGAGAGAGAGAGAGAAAGAGACAGAAAGAGAGACAGAGAGAGAGAGACAGAGACAGAGAGACTGGGTGTGGCGGCCAAAGCCTCTCATCCCAGCTGCTCAGCAGGCTGAAGCAGGAGGATTCAAATTTGAGTCCAGCCTGGACAATTTAGCCAGACCCTGTCTGGAGGGTGGGGAAGAAAAGAAAAGAAAAAGAAGAAAGAAAGAAAGCCTCCTCCCCCGTTTCCTCCCTGTAGCCTTTGGGCTCCTGCCCACACTGCCGCCTGCCCTGGTCCTCTTTCTGCAGAGCCGGCTTCGGTCTGCGGGCCCAATTCAGTTCAGACCCAGGACAGCTCTTCCCCCTTCCCTTCCTGCCCACCTTTCACCAAGCTGCCTGGACTTAGGCAAGGAGGGGCACTGCCACTGGGAGGAGCTGGGGGGGCTCCTGGGACCCTGGTGCAGCCCCCCCGCCGACCACAGGCTCTCTCCCTCCAGCACTTTGTGTCCTACTCCTTAACACAGGGCTGATTTATGGGGGTGCGGTGGTGCACACCTATAATTCCAGCACTCTGGGAGGCTGAGGCAGGAGGATCACAAGTTCAAGCCCAGTCTGGGCAACGTAGTGACTCAGCAGACCCTGCCTCAAAATAAAAAACCTGACCACCATGCAGCTAGGGCTCTGTGTGCTCCCCTCCTCCCTCTCCCCTCTCCCCTCTAATTCCTCTCCTCCTTCAGGCTGGAGCACACCTTCCTCTCCCCTCCTACATGCCCTCTCTGCCTCCCTACACCCTTTCTAGCTGCTCCTCCCTGCTCTTCCCCTCCGTCTTCTCAGGCTCCTCCCACAGGCCTCACCTCTGCCTCATTCTCCTTGACCCCGCTCGTCAGAACTTTGACCATCTCCGCTTGGTCTGGGCTCTGACCCCGCCCGAGCCCTCCAGGACGACCTGGTTGAGTTCCCAGGCCAATACACTCCCCATTTTGGAGCCTGACAGTTTTCTTTTTCAGTACTGCTGATTAAACCCAGGGCTTTCATGTTGGGCTATAGCTCCAACCCTTTTTAAAGTTTAGTTTTAATTTTTCATTTTTAAGATAGGATCTTGCTAGATTGCCCAGGCTGGCCTTGTACTTGGAGTCCTCCTGTCTCAGCCTCCCAGAGTGCTGGGATGACAGGCCTTCGCTCCCATACCCAGCTCTAACAGCAGTTTTCAACCCCCTCCTCGCCTGGCCTGCTCCACCAAGAGTCCTGTCTCCTCTTGGTGCCCCAGTCTCTGCTCTTTTGATGCCGCCTCCTTTAGGGCTCCTTCTGTGTCTTGGCCACTGCTTGCTCATCCCATCTCTGGTTCCGAGGGCCGAGGTCCAGGTGTGGCCAGGGGTGACCCCTTCCAGGTCCTTCCTTCCTCAGGACCCCGGGGCCAGCAGCACAGGGAGGCCCGATGATGCCCTCACGTAGGGAGAGTGTCCGCTTTCCCCACCTCTGCTCGGCTCCCCCTGGCAGGTGGATGTGGAGAAGAGTCTTGATCCTCTGGGCTCCCAGCCTCTGCTGGCACTCTGGGCTTGGCAGAGTGGCCCACTGGGGTTGGGGGTCATCACAAATGCCCTGGGCCTCTGTGGCCCCGAAAGGGGGTGTTAAAACCCTGGGGCCAGGCCGGGGAGCTCTGGCGCACAGACTGCTGGGGAAGAGTGGGGGGGCCAATGGCCTGGGCACCCCAGCCCAGGAGTGTGCCTACGCCCCAAGATCACATGGGTACATTCAGAGCTCATCTCAGCACACGCTGTATATGCGGCTGCCTTTGCAAAAACCACACAGAGGACGTAGGGGATTGACCCACAGCAGACCCCAAAGCAGGGGCATTCCTTTGCCCCTGGGGCAGTGGTGGGACAGAGAAGCTGGGGTCTACCCAGCTCCTCCAGACCCCAGTGCCCAAGCCATCCCAGGGGTGGAGGCAGGGTTGACCCCGCCCACATAGCACCCTGCATTTGCATCTTAACATCAAACCAATAAAAGCCAAGCAAGAGGGATGCAGTCCTTGGGGTGGGGCCTCCACAGCTGAGCTAGAACTTGGGAGTTCTGCTTTCCCCGGGGAAACAATTGTGGCCTTGACAGTGCCACCTGAGAAGACACACGGTCCTTACATGCGTCCCTTCCCAGCAGGACTTTCCAAGTTTCCGAACATTTCACCAAGACCTAAAGTTGTGAGGAAGGGGAAATTTAGACGAGGGAGGTTTGGCTTCACCTGTCAACAGTTCAAACCTAGTGTCCCTGCTTGGGTGTGGCCTCCTGCAGCACAGACTGCATGGGAATTTACAGATGCGGAAGGGGAACACTGCAAGGGCCCTGTGGCCTCAGAACCCCAGGGAAGCAGGCGGGGGTGTCTGGGGGAGCTGGCCGGCCCCGGGTGTCCCATGGGCAGAGAGCTCCACTCTGAGCAGAGAGCGAGGGGTCAGATCTCCCTGCTTGTACAGAAACGGGCCAGATGGCACCCATGCATGTGTGTGCACACACAACTTTTTCTTCTGAGCAGACAGGGCCACTCGCTTTGTAAAGGACTTGAGAAGTCCAGGAAGGAAAAGGACGTTCCATTTTTGTTCTTGAACCAATTTCTACCATCTGCATTATTCTCCCTGAGCTGGGATTTCTGCAATCATTAAAGAAAATCCCCCTTGAGAGTTCTGGGGCTCCAGAACTTGCCGCCCACTGGTCCTGTGCATGCCGGCCCGGGCACCCACCTGCGGTGTGTGAGGAAGCTGCCGCTGACATGGCCCGAGCCGTCGCAGCCCGGCGTGGGGCAGGACATGCCTTCCGTCTTCACTGACTTCCAGGAGAACTGGGAGCCGTTGAGGTACCCATCTTTCTGCCGCTTGGCCGCCAACGGGCACCCTGAGGCGCTGCGGTGGGAAGCGTACTTCCCTGTGATGTGGCCTTGACCGTCACAGCCGGGGACAGGACACCTGAGTGGAGACAAGACACAGGGCACACACTGCCTTTGTGTCCCCAGTGGGCCCCACCGCAGCCAGAGCATCCTGGTTGAAGGAGCAAAGGAACACGCGAGACTACTGGAGCAGAGAGGAGAAAGGAGAGGAAAAGTTGCCCAGAGATGCCACCTAGTGGTGCGGGGAGATATTTCACCCTGGCAGAAGGGTCCTGGGTGGCCCAGGGACAGCACCCAGCCATTTTTATTTTTTATTTTGAGACAAGGTTTCACTAAGTTGCTCAGGCTGGACACAAACATGGAATCCTCCTGCCTCAGCCTCCCAGAGTGCTGGGGATACAGGTGTGTGCCACTGTGCCTGGATTGCATTTCTTTTTAGATAGCAAAGTTTATTTTCTACAAAATCTGTATTTTCTATTTGTTTTGATATGTTTTATCTTAATAATGTATGCTTTAATTAAATTTTTTGTTTGAAGTAAAATTTGTCTCCACAGATATTGAGATGGAAATTTCAGGAAGACCCAACCAGCTCCTTCTTTCCTTTCAGCTTTATTTATTTAAATTTTTGGTACCAGGGATCAAACTCGGGCCCTTGAGCTCACAAGGCAGGTGGTGGAACCACTGAGCCTAATCCCCGGTCCCCTTTCAGTTTCTTAAGATAGGATCTTGCTACACAGCCCAGGCTGGACTTGAACTTTGGGTGATCCTCCTGCCTCAGCCTCTGGAGTACTGGGGTCACAGGTGTATATTGCCATGCCCTGCTCTTGCAGGACTTTTGAGACCCGGGTGTTGGTGTGCAGCAGACCTTTGCTGGACAGCAGGCTGCCCTGGGAGAGGCAGGGTGGAGCTGTTTTAGATGGCCTGCAGTAAGATGGTCACTTTGGGGATTTTGCTTTCTTCCATCTCACCCTCCCGTGAGTCTGCCTTCCCCGCGAGCTCTGTTATGGGAAGGAAGTTTCCTGTGACTCTGGCCATGTGAACGGCAGCTGGTGATACCCTGGGACTCCTGGGCTGTGGTCTACCTGGCCTCAGCAGATGCCCCTGTGCCCACGGGCTCTTCCTCTCTAGATGGCCCCCAGCAGCCCTGAGCACCTTGGCCTCGGCCTTGGTGGGCCCTGTACCTGATGGGCTCCTGGTCCTCCTTGTCTTCTTTACTCTGTGCTATCCGGATCCCGCTCTTCTTCGCTCTTGGGCACCCTGAAAGGCTGAAGGAGAGACACGTGTCAGAAACACCTCTCTGAGACTCAGGAAAAGTCTGTTTCCTGGCCAGGGATAGGGGTGAGGGAGGCCAAGTGAGCTCATTTCATTTTCTAATCTTTGGAGGGAATGGCCCCTTCCCGAGTGACTCTCGAGTCACCACCTCTCCCCCTGTGGGCACGCTTGTCCAGAACAGCCCCTGTCAATGCTGTCCCCCCACTCCTCACTTCTGAGCTGTCCCCAGAAGTGGCATGTGACCTCAGTGGCACATGGCTATGCCTCTGCGGGTCCATCTGCCAACCCTCAACCCTGCCCATGACATCGGGGCCGTTCCAGGAGGAGGCAGCCATGCACACGTGCACCTGTGTCCCAAGTCCTAGCCCAGGGCACTTCATGGAGCCTTGAGAGCTAGGTAGCTGCTGAAAACATTGCCGAATGGACACAGGAGCACGGGCGGCAGGGTGGCCGTGTCCTCCCCATGGCCTGGCACAGCAGGCCACCATGCTCTCCCTCAGTGTCCTGGCCACACAGGTCCAGGGACTTGGGGACTTGTCCCGAGCAACATTTTAACACAGGTGGGAAGTTCTCAGTGACTTGCTTCTTGCTGACTTTCATGCCTGATGAAAACAAGAGGCCTTTTTCTACCCCAGCCAAGACCCAGAATGTACGGACATGAGAAGACCAGTTCACTATCTTAAATTATTTTCTGCCTAAAAAAGGGAACATAAAAACCAGTTGTTTGGGCACAAGCTGTATTCTCACACTCTGGGAGGCTGAGGCAGGAGATATCTCAAGTTTGAACCCAGCCTGGGCTACTCAGCTACTTAGCAAGACCTTATCTCACAATAAAAAATAAAAAGGCTAGAGTGGAGCTCAGAGTGAAGGCCCTGGGTTCAGTACCCTATGTCAAAAAATGAGAACAAACAAAACAAAAGACACAGATGTGAAGATGGACCACACTGTGACCACCCGGGGGCATGGCCTGAGGTGGCATCTGTGCACCCCAAACAGACCGCCGAAAGGTCACCTCTGCCATTCAGAGTGGCCTAGGAGTGGCGAGTGTCTGAGGGAGAGGAGGTGAGGAGGAGATGGGCGAGGAGACTGCCTGGCCCCTCAGGGTCCAGACGGCAGCAGCGCGGGGCAGTAGCTCTGGTTCCCAGGTTCCCAGGTTCCCAGGAGCCGAGTCCTCAACCCTCCCCCGTCCAGCGCACCACTGACCCAGCCTGCCACCTCCTGCTGGAAGCTGACTCTGCGCTCTGCCCCCGCTGCAGCTGGCTTCTCAGAATGGGGCCCAGTCCTCTGCATTCAGGCGGGGTCTCCCTCACTCCAGGTGAGAGCACAATCACAGCTGCTGGAAACTTGAAGCTGCCTCTCCCTCCTCCCTCCCTTCTCCTCCTTCCCTTTCCTTTCTGCTTCCGTCTCCTCCTCCTCCTCCTCCTCCTTTTCCTTCTCATAGTGCTGACTCTGTGGTAGGAGCCCCAGGAGCTCCAGGAAAAGATTTCTCCTTATGCTGCATGGGCCATTGAGCCAGGTGTCTCCACTGTATCCCCAGGACCTGATGGTGCCTCCACTCGCTCACAGAAGGGCTTTGAGGTACCTGTGTGGACGCCCAGAGCATGAGGGAACTGAGCGGTGATGGGTCTGTCTGGCCACTGGAGGTGTGGATGTTGCATATCATGAAAGATCTAAAGGGCGCCTGGAAGGAGGATGCAGGAATCTATGCTCAGGCGAGCAGCATCTCTGTGCTCTTATTTCCTGTCATGCTGGAGGTCGTGAGCTGCTTGGAGGTCAGGCTGTGCACAGAGCTTCCTACGGGGTGGGTGCTCAGGAAACTCTGTCTTGTGCCATCTGAGGGGTGTAGTCGCTGGGTGAGATACTAGGGTGCGAAGACATCGCTTCTGCCCTGGAGCAGCAGCCCCTGGGCTCCGGGTCTCCTGGAGTTTGCAGGATCCTGTTACAAAGGCCAGCAATGGCTGGGGGCAGAGACTCAGGGAGGGGAGGACTCGGGAAGAAGCATGAGGGCGTGAAAACTGCCAGAGCAGGAAGGGAGTCCTGGTGAGGGTCCAAGAAGAGTCGCACAGGAGCGCTGGGAGAGCGTGATGTGCTGGAGACAGGGGGCTGGAGCACCATGGAAACCGTCCAGACACAAGGGAAAGCTGCAGTTGGGTCCTTGGATAGCCAGGGTGTCGCCCCCACTGTGGTCTTCAAGGGCCACTCCGGGCAGGCAGGCAGGTGTGCCGAGAGGCGGCTTTGCCACCAGACAACACAGGGCTCCGGGTCCATCCCTGACCCTGGAGGCTCAGATTCCTCCGAGTCGGACACGAATGGCTGACTGACAGCAGCAGGGGCGGAGGAATGCCCAGTTCCTGGAGCAGAGAGGGCAGTGCAGCCAAGGCACGAAGGCCACCTACGACCCCAGACAGGCCTCCCGCTGTGAGCAGGGGGGGCACAGTCTGGCACCAGGAGCTCTCAGGACCTGCTGTAGGCTCAGGGCCCTTTGCTGCCACCCAGTTCTTACTGTAGCCCACAGAGCCAGGAAAGATGCCCAAACTCAAACCTGAGTTGAATTGTGGCATCTTTGGGAGGAAAGGCAATGAAACATTAAGTAAAGTTAAAAAAAGTTTTCTGTATAATTTGCAGGGCAGCGAGTTTCTGGGAAGTCAGAAGATGAACAGGCCTGTGGCCACCAAAAGCCAAGGTTCTTATCTGACTGTTAGCTTCCATCTGTCTTCAGCAGCTGACTTGTGTTCAGAGAACAGCCTGCTTCACCGTGAGCCCCGGTCTAGCTTTCTGGGGTCCTTCGTCTAAGAACTAACTGAATGCAAATTTTTGTTTAATAAAATGTTTGACCGCATTTAAACCTCTGTGCGAGGGCAGTTGTCACTAGAACGCATGATATCACAACGTGCTCTTCTTTCTCTTCCCTAAAGCCTCTCTAGGGCTGTATGCAGAGCTCAGATTTGCCCAAACATAAACTGACTTTCCTGGAAAGGTCTGCTCAGCTTCATTTTAAACCTGTTATCCTTGAATCCCAAGCCTGTGCTGTATTAATACAGCCTGTTATAAGTGGAATGAATAAAAATGTTTAAACTCATGCCTGAGTTCAAATGATTTCAACCCACCTCTCCCAGATGAAAACAGTAGAAAAGCAGACATTCAGATCGGAAACAGCCAGGGAGCAGACACTTCAGTGGTGTGCATTAATAAAATGCTGGAGTTGTGACTATTTAAGCATTGAGACATTTCTAAGATAAGTTAAATAAAGAGTGACATAGAATGTGCCTGACTTCTCCTATTTTTGTTTTTGTGTTTTGGTACCAGGGCTTGAACTCTGGTCCTTATGCTTGCAAGGCAGGTGGCAGAACCACTGAGCTAAATCCCCAGCCCGTTTTCTTTTGTTTTTGTTTTTGTTTTGAGCTTCTCCTATTTAACTGGAGTGTTTTTTTAAAACTTTCATCAAACCTAAACCAGTCTGTTGACCTTGGAAATCCTTTGGAATGACCTCATGGGTCCTCTCTGCAACCTGCGCTGTCTGTCCTATGTCTGGGGACATCTTGTGGCCAGGAGAGAGGATCATCTGGAGGCTGGGGTGCTGCTTGGTGCCCCGAGTGCACAGGACCGGCCCACAGTCCCCAGGCATGAGTGGCTACAGTGTGGAGAAGAGCAGGAGGTATTGTGCTGGCCTGGGGGACCCCATGAGCTCGGGGCCTTGGTGGCCCTGGGTGCCGTCACAGCTGGTTCTTTTCAGACATGCACGGGCTTAGCAGGGCTTTGAGCACAGAAACACAGGTGCAGCTGGATCTTCAGGAGGGTTGCCCTGTGAGTCCTGCCCTGCATCCAGCCCGGCTGGCAGGGGCATCCCCACCCTGACAGCCCCTGGAGCTGGTCAGTCACATGATGCTGTGATCATGTGATCTCGTGATGCTCCGGCTGTGCAATGAGCTGGCCTGGGGCAGCAGGAGGTGACTGATCTCTGACACTTGCTGTGGCTGTCCTAATCGACTTCCCTCCCTCTTTCCTTCCTTCTTTTTTTCTCCCTTCCTTCTTTTCTCCCTCCCTCCTTCTCCTTCCTGTGTTTGAAGCACAAGTGCTCCTCTACTTCTGCACACCTTCTGCACACACACATTGCAGTGTTGCAGTGTGAGCTCTAGAGGCAGGAAAGGCCCCGCACTCCAGACCTTAGCTCAGGGATGGGCTGGGTGCGGTTGTATCTCACAGGAGGCTGCGTTGGCTGAGTTCCCTGACATTCCTGCCCTGACTCTGATATTGCTGTTGGCCCTGACTCAACACGACACTGGCCATGTCACGTGATCCCAGGTAGTACTTTCACCATGGGGTGGACAGTGCACTGACAGAGTCTGTCCTCTGCCTGGACTTGAGCCAGGCTCCTCTGATCCTGGCCTGACCTTGGGCTCCCCTCTGTCCGGGCAGAGTCCAGGGTGAGTGAGAATCCCACTGCGTCAGTGTGAGGAAAACCCCACCTCGGCACCCACAGCCCTGACCTCCCTCACCTGGCCTGACTGCAGTAATGCCACCGACATGTCCCATCGTGTCCTCAGCCCCAGTGCCTCCTTAGTGACTTCACATAGCTGTGAATCCCCAGTAGTCCAGGGTAGAAGCCGATGGCCAGTGTCCACCCACAGGACCCTGCTGTAGTGGCCTGAATCCCCTTTGCCATGTTTAATGATATTTGGGTGAATCTTTTTCTACAGCTCCTGTCAACTCTCAAACATAGACAGGCATCAGCACACTGTTCCCTGGCTGCAATGTGGATGCTTTGTGATTGCCTATGCCTGGTCTCTATGGCATTATTTTAGGCTCTGGAAAGTGCAACACTTCTGCAGCACCTAGTTCAGCAGATCCCTGCTCACGTTAACTGTTCAGCTCTGTAGTTTGAATCTTGATGTTTATGAGATTAGCTCTCTGCGCCTGAGGATGCTGGTCTCCCAGGGACTTTTCTCAGAGATTGTATAACACAGGAGAGTAGGATCTTTCTCCTTTACTCCTTCTCCTTGAAAAGCAGCCTGCTGCAGAACTGGAAATGTTTCTCTGTGGAGCTACAGGCTTAGGGCTAAGACCTTCAGGGACAGACAGCTTCATGGCCCTACGAGTCCAGATCTTCAATTTTACCACTGCAGCCAAGCTGAGCCTACCCCAGAGTCTGGGTTTGGAGCTGCCACCCAGGGAGAGACTGTGTCAGAGGGGAAGATCATGCTCCGACATACCTCCGGTGAGAAGCATAGTTGCCGGTGATGTGTCCTGAACCGTCACAGCCAGGAGTGGGGCACCTGCAGGGAAGAATGCAAATTGGATGACGGACTCGAGTGAAATCCAACCCAAGAACAATGAACTTCTCATCTAACCAAAAAGTAAATCTTTATTCCTCAATCTCCCCATGGAAAGGCAGACTTGAGCTGGGAGCGCCCAGCCTAATGTCCCCACATCCAAACCTTCTACTCACAACCCTTTCTTTCCAAGTGCAGGGACTTTTCCAGGAGGAGCATGGTTCATGCCTGCCTACCACACACCTCCTTGGCCACCGGGCTGTGGACTCCAGAATGTCTGTTCCCTTCACCCTGGGTCTCCGTCCCCCATTACTACACTAAGTCAGCGGAGGCCAGCTGACAGTGGGGCTTGTCATTATAGCTACCCCCACATGAGGCAAACACAAGACAAGGTGCACACCGTGGCCAAGATCCTGCTCTTAGTCAGGGGTCCCTGGACCGATTCCTACACCCCCTGCCAGCCTCAGGGGCCCAGCTTGAGGGACATGAGCTTCGGGATGCAGGTCAGTGACTGTCCCTGGACACTTTGGCAGGCTTGAGTCACCCTGAAATCTTTGGCACATTTAATGACAGGGATTGCAGTGCAGGAGACAGATGGGGATGTGCCCAGCCCAGTTGGCAGAGGTTACGGAATGGTCTGAGCACATCTACACTGCCTCTGCAGAAACCTAGCCTGTGAATCCGTCTGCTCTGCAAGTATGGCATTGCCATGACTCTAACGGGAGAGAATTGTTCCTGAAGAATTTTATAAGTATTGTTCTCCACATATCTTCTCAAATGTGCCTCCCCGAGAATAAGCAGACAGGACTGCAAAATATTTCCACTTTAAGCTAGCTCATCGCTTTTGTGCCACCTTGATTGTAAAACTTAAGAAAAAGATTCTTCTTTCCCTTAGACTTGTAACCCTCCAAAGGTAACAAGGATAAGTTTTATGATGAGCAATAGGACCTCTTAATAGTGCGGCTCAAATCACACTCTGCACATTCCTGCTCAACGAGGGTCTGAAATCTTGTCAAAGGCAAAGTCACAACTTTAAATATTACATAACTGTGTATTACAGAGGCACAACCCCTTCCCCTCAGAGAGTCTCTCTGGGGCATGGATGCTTGAATAGGGTGGCACAGCCCACCCCTTTGGTGGCTCCCTCCCGATCAGTTGAGCGTGTCAGGAAAACACAGCAAACTGGACAGATTTCAAGTGTGAATGTTGCACCTTGACACTTAGGTGTGTAAACATTTTTCAGCATTCGGGTATTTTCTGTTTCCCTTTTAGTGCTGAGAAGAGGATGTGATTCCATGTTTTAGGGCATAGAAATCAGTATTTGCCTTCTCTAACAGCTTAAATTCAAAGTTGGAGTTCAATTTATGGCCCATGCCGTGGGAGAATAAAAACTAATTGAAGGAAGGGGAAGTGTAGGCATCTTGGCTGGGTGCCTGTGAATACCCGCAGCTCATCAGGAACTGGGATGCTTAAAATAGGAGCTTGCAGGGAAACAATGATTGTGGTATTTTAAAGAGAATCTACATTTCAAAACAAGAACTCCAGAGCAGACCATGGGCTTAATTTTTGATAAAGTGATCACTGTGTTTATGTACTAGATCCATGCAAAGCTGGATCCCAAGACCATCCAGTCAATTGCTAAGCATTTTCTCAGAATAAAGTAACTGACTGAAGTTAAGTATCTGATTTTCCAAAGGACACCTGGCCTGGGTAGTGGGGCAACCCTGGGAGGGCAATTTACAGAGAGCAAAATCATTCTCAGAGAAGCTAATCTTTACCCAAGTGTCTGTTTTGGAAATGTACCAAGGTACACGTGCTTCCCCCTAGCCAGGAAGATATATTTGGTGGCCTTTTTTTTTTCTCAAGGAAAATGATTCATAAACTCTTCCTAAGTATTTAGTGTAAATTTATTTAAAAGGTACTCATTTTAATACAGCTACGCATTTTCCGTGTCTTCCTTTGGTTGGGGTGAAAGGTGTTATATTTTCAAATTTAAAGCACAGTTTTATAACTAACATGATGTAATGAAAATCCTATTTCATTACCTATAAAGAACCCCTTTGTAGCCATATACACGTTTAACTACCTTTTATGAGTATCTAATTTATTGTCCACTAAAAAAGGTGTTTCAACCTCCTTTTTCACCTTGAAAACAGACAAAAATCACTGATTTTGTTCATTTTCAGAGTTTTTACTGTGTTGGGACAAAAAGAGAAAGAGATCTTCCTCTCTTTAAAGTGTGTTTTATTTCCAGGGCTCTGGGGTGGGTGGGGGCTCGCACCCCAGCCCTAAGACTGGGAGGGAGCAGAAGGGGACCCTATCTTTGTGTAAGTTCTGCTCTGCACCATTAGATGGCGCCTGTGGGTCACAGAAGGCAGCAGGGCACGGTGTGCATTGGTTCTTCTAGCAGCTCTGGGTTTTATTTCTGTGATTGTTCAAGACCTTAAGGCTTTAAAAAATTCTTACACGACATACAGATTTCTTAGCTTTAAGAAATCTCCAGGAAGTCTGCCTCTGTTTCCTACCGCCTCTCCTTTATTCTATGTGCACCAATCCCCCAAAACAAAGGTACATATGATGCACCCTAAACGTGCACACTAATACGAAAATAAATTCCTTTGCAAATTAAAAAATAGAATTCACAACATGCAAAGCACAGTTCTCTGCAGTTATGGGCGAGGAAGTGATTGCTCATCTCACAAAGGGAATCGGTCTCTCAGAGGCCAGGGGATCCAGGACCAGAGGACGGAGCCCGGGTGGGATGGGTCGATTACTGCAGTGGATGGGCACCTGCCATCCAGCAGAACGCTCCTCGAGGAGGGCTCACGTGGGGCCAGCAGAGTCTCCGAGGATGGCGGGAAGGCAGCCTGTGAGCACAGCGTGGGTCTGAACCGCAGGAGCAGGGCTGCATTTCCATGGAAACGGGCCTCAGCTCCTTACTGGAGGCTGCTAGCACTGGAGTGCCGGCTGCAGGAGCAGCAGAAGGGATCTTAAAGGACACTGTCCCTTCTTGCTTTCCTGATCGTTACCATGAGCAACAGTACTTGGGCAGATTTAAGTCCTTAGAGCTAAGGATGCAGAGTTGTACAACATCAAACACTTGGCCTTATCTATATATTTTTCTTTTCTAGTCCAAAGTACTGAGGGTACAAACGCTCAGAGGAAGAAATTGATGAATAAATAATCTCAAAATCTGTGCTCGCTGCTTCTTGGATATATTCAAGACAAAAATATTCTTGATCTGCTTGTACTGTGTTGGTCTTACATTTGCCTTGACAGTAAGCAACAATAAGAGAATGTGATTTTTGGCGGTACCTATTAGGATCTGGCTGGGCAAACTGGTCTGGTGTTGGCATTTTAAAATGGTGATAGAAAAATCATAGCAAAATATTTTAAAGTTTAAAATTTGTGTGACATACAGACACAGGCAACATCTTTAAAAAGGGCAAATTCAGGAGCGCTCACAAATGTGTGCTTTTTGACCTTGAGGCAATTGCTCTTCCTAGCAGCAGGAACCGAGTTCCTGTTGCCTTTGTACATCTAAGATGCCAGAGAGAGCCCCACGTCTGAGAGCCCCCGTAACTCTGTGCTTTTGGGTTTTGCTTTCTTATTCATGGCTAAGAAAATACTGAACCTTATAAGAACTGTCATCAAACCTATCTTCTTAGAGGTCATCAGATACATCTTCTGACATCGAAGGCAAATTTGATATCTGTGCACTAGAATACTTAGTCACCGAAGCCAGCGGGGCACGGTGGTGCATACCTGTAATCCCAGCGCAATTCGGGGCTGAGGCAGGGTGACTTAAATTCCAGTCCAGACAGAGCAAGTCAGTGAGATGCAGTCTCAAAATCATTACAATGGGTTGCTGATATAATTGGGTACAAAGGCCGTGGGTTCAATCCCCAGTGCCACAAAGAGGAAAATTTTGCACTGGCACGCATCCCAAAGATGGGCCAACCACCCCACGCCTCAAATCTTCCTTTGGTTTGTCCTCAGCAAGATGCAAACTTCCGTACACAGCGCTGCGCTCTTCTCCCCTTGCAAAACCATAGGCTAGAAAGGGCAGTAGCATTGAACCGCTGCCTCCCGACTGGTTAATTATTCACCGGACCGTCTTCCACTCTACTCTACAGTCTCTCCCTCTGTTTTCCAAAGAGGACGCGATGCTGATGCTTACATCCAGGCCAAGTCGTGTTCGGACACGACCGTCTTTGGGGTGGGCGTGGCCTCCGGTTACAGAACTGTGCACAGGAAGTAGGCTTGCTGTTGGAGGTGGGCTAGGGGACCCACTTCTTGCCAAGCCAGTGAGAATGTAAGTCAGGGACTCACTCCCTACAGCATCCCAGCAAGGTGGGTCAGACAGCTGGGGACTCCTGTACTTGGCGAGTAGGGTCACACCAACAGGCAGATGTCCTTGAGGTACAGGGCCCTGGAGGGAGACTCTCATCCTACACATCTGCTGCCTCCCACACACCACGCTGGAGTGGTCCCACAGGAAGTGGTCCATGGCCTCTCCCTTCCATAGGGTCAATTGCTTATTTGTAAAATCTTGTAAACAAAGGCTGGGAGTCCTGCTGGCCTGATGGAACATTACCTAGACCCTGATCTGCGAGGAAGTCTGCTTCCTGCTGAGTTGGCCCTGGAAGGTGGGCTTAAAAACATGACCGGATGTGGAGCCTAGTGGCTAAGACACCTCCGCAAAAAACTCTTGAGTATTTGAAACGAGGACATGAAGTACTGGACTGAGGTATTTCGAAGAATCTCAAGAAGGAGTGTCTTTTTTTATTCTTTTGTTACATGGCAACTCCATCTTAATTAGTAAAATGCAAAGTACAAAAAAATATACTTTTTTTCTTTGTGCTCTCAAAGAAATCATAAAAATGTAAAATTAGGCCTTGTCTAAAGTAGCTAAGCAAATTTGGAAGTCAGAATGATTCTGGCTATGTGTATAAAATTTTGTCTCATGCATATAGTTCTAAAAATATATTTATTTTCATTCT